TAAAAATAACATGGTTCTCTGTTGTTTTGGCGCTTGTTTTATTTAGAAACTGTGCAAATTGCATTGCAACTTCACATCCAGTGTAAAATTTTGCAACTTGCTACTTTAAAGTGATGACTAATATATCATGAACATGAACTTCCTTGAATCTTCAAGAAATATTCAGTCATGACTTTTCAGTAAATGAAGTGTGTTTTTTAAGAATTAAACACATTTTCAGGCCCTAACAACTTCTAAGATATGTTCCATCGTCAAGTGTTTCAAACACTAAAACAGTAGTTCCAAAATCGTTTGTGTTCGATTATGAGAAAATGTGATCGATCGCTTGTTTGTTTGGTCACTGGGACCAATCTTCGATTATTTCAGTTAATCAGAACACCACTAGTCGCCACATAATATAGTTCCAACTGAAACCTGGATTTTGGCAACTTGTGTGTTCTGATAATGATAATAATTATTCTAATAATTTTTCCATATCCCTGATGTTTCATTTGAACATGATTGTTGCTAGACAAGGACAGTGCCATTGTTGTTTCTACACAGTGAAAGCAGTACTTACCTGACCTTTAATATTTGCATATTTAGCCATAAGACCCCCGCGGACTCCAGTAGCTTTATCTTACCCAGAAACCTATCTGGTATATGATAAACACTGATATCTGTATTCATACACAATAATTCATCGTTAGTAGTTATTTATTGATGAATCATGATATTTTGGAATCGATACCTGGATATGTGCAGTCATTGATACACTTGGACTATACAGATTTGTAGAATGTCCCAGTTGTTTTTCAACGAGTGTGATTTAATTGTGTGTCACTTTCAAGTATCACAGAATTATCACAAAAACTTGCACGTTGGTGTCAAAACGCTTGTACTTCCACGACATCCACACCAGCACAACTAATTTCAAACTATCGATTTTCAGTACTGCAACAAGAGTGTCTTGAGAGAAAATGGCCATTAAGTTGCAATATTGATTTCTCAACCCAAGACCATATTTTGATATCAAACAATCTGTTACATTTAATTCAGGGATGTATTTTGACAGGCTATCAAAAGTGAACATATAAATATAACACTACTGTTTTTCACGAAAATTCTGTTACGCTTAAAACCGAATGGTTGATCTGCCGTCAACAGAGCCGATATTATAATTTCGCTTCAAACAATCCAGTGAATGCATTTTTAATGTGTGCTGGTGCATTTGAAGTGCATACAACCTCACTGGTTTCATTAGGTTTCATTCACTAGTAGTTATTCATCCATTGATTTCTACGTCATTAACTCGTATTTAAGGGTAGGCTATAAGCATCATGATTGCCCACAAAGATATGTATTGATTGTTTATTATGTTATATTGATCCTTCAGACTATAGTAATTATGTTCCAAGCTGTGAGGAAACATTGGTTTTCTCTTGGTCCATTTTTTCCGTGTACGAAATTCTTGAACTGTTACACAAATTGATAAAATTATTTTTTCTAAGCTGCCATTTGACTGTCAAAATACTCATGAAGATAGGGGCGGTGGGGTAGCCTGGTGGTAAAAGCGTTCGCTCATTACGCCGAAAACCTGGGTTCGAATCCCCACATGGGCACAATGTGTGAAGCCCATTTCTGGTGTCCCCCGCCGGATATTGCTGGAATATTGCTAAAAGCGGCATAAAACCATACTCACTCACTCACTCATGAAGACAGCTCAACTTGAATGTTTTAACTTTGCTATTCTTATAGTCTGTTTGCAGTGAATTTCACTTTAAACAAAAAAGTAAATCAAATAAATCGAAATTAAGATTGCGAATCCTTATAATTTTACCTTGCCAATTGAACATTTAACTCTCAGAATCTTATTCAACTTCATTCTCTTCCCACAGAGGTTACTCCTGTCATATCTTCCTACGTAACCTCTGTTCTAATACGGCCATATTTCCCGGTTCTCTTAAAATCCCCTAGCGGCAAAAGATCGCAAAACGAATTATCTCCCTTCTTTCTATCCAATCAGAACACGTGTTACATCGACTTAGATTCAACTTGACTAACACAAGCAGATGTGAAGCCACAAATATCCCCCATCTGCCGGGGACTTGTGTTGATGTTACACACAAGACGTTTAATGGCTAGCTTGTCCGTTGTCAATGAGGGCGATGGAGACGCCACTGATCCGCCATAACATGACTGAGTTCTGTCTAGAGGAAACGTTTGCGCATCGCGCAGGGGAAGAGGTTTAGTTTTCTCGAAGTATACGGAAATTACCGAGGCCTTGCGAATGATCACTTTTGAAACAACGTCGCTGATTGCACAACTAAATCTGATTGTCTCCAATCACGAGTCTTGAACGCTCACACCATGAAAGGGACGTATTAGAACAGAGGTTACGTAGGAAGATATGACAGGAGTAACCTCTGTGGGAAGAGAATGATTCAACTTATGATAAAAATTGTTTAACAAACGATCATAGATTCTAATCGCTATTATTGGTTTGTATTACAAGGGGGTAAGCACAGTAGTTGGAACAGTGAAACAAATGCACGTGCTGTACGTGATGCGCGTTAAACTTAGACCAACCTTACGTGTTCTTGGAGTTTCATTTAATGTGCTTACCCCCTTGTAATACAAACCAATAATAGCGATTTAAAACTATGATCATTTATTAAACAACTTTCATCCTAAGTTGAATAAAATTCTGAGATTTTAATGTTCAGTTGGCAAGGTAGAGTTATGAGGATTCGCAATCTTAATTTCACTTTATTTGATTTACTTTTTTGTTTAAAGTGGAATTCATCGGTACGTTTTCACTGCAAACTGACTATAGTGCTGTTTATTCTGCCATACCAAAGGGGTGAGTGAGTATGGTTTTACGCCGTTTTCATCAATATTCCAGCATTGAGGTGAGGGGACACCAGATGATGAGCTTCACACATTGTACCCATGTGGGGAATAGAACCAGGCTTTCAGCGTAACAAGCGAACACTTTAGCCACTAGGCTACCCCACTGTTTCCATATACCAAAGGGGCGGTGGGGTAGCCTAATGATTAAGGGGCTCGCTCGTCACACTGAAGACCCGGGTTCGATTCCCCAACGTGTGAAGCTCATTTCTGGTGTCCTGTCAAATTTCGCTGTGAAATTTCTGGAATATTGATGAAAGCGGCATAATACTCACATACTCACTCACTCACCCATATACCAAAGAGAAGCAAAGGTGCCTGAGTCATCTACAACTGTGCAGAATTTTGTAATTTAGGTGTACCAGACACCTATCATTGCGGGTTCGAATCCTGAAAACTATGTTATTGTCAGCACGATACCTGTGATCATGGGTTTCGCCAAAGGGAGAAACGACCAATACCTGCTCCACCTGAGGCGTACCTCCAACATGAAGATGGCATGTCATGATACAACTTGAATACTATTCAAAGCTCAGACTCAGTCACTTATAGTGAAAAAGCTGTAGAAAGTCTGAATTTTGGCAAGGTATTGATATTGTAAATGCAATTACCACTGATAAGTTATCTATTTGAGTGGAATAGACATGGTATGAAACATATGTCACAGTTATCCAGTTAAACATGAGAATTTGCATACACATATTCTCGAACAAATTTCATAACTTGATTGTTCAGCAACACAATTCAGACTTGTCCAGTGTAATCTTTTCAGCTTGCATACCTGTTTATTTTACATGGGGTGGTGGGGTAGCCTAATGGCTAAAGCGTCAGCTCGTTATGCTGAAGACCCGGGTTTGATTCCCCACATGTGTACAATGTGTGACGCTCATTTCTGGTGTTCCCTGTTGTGATATTGCTGGAATATTGCTATAAGCATAAAACCATACTCACTCACTCATTCACATATATATTTTACAGATGGTTCTTCTGATCAAATAAAGGAAGGGTAGGGTACCTTCGTGGTTAATGTGTTTGCTTCTCACAGAGAAAACCCAGGTTGGATTCCCCACATGGGTACAATGTGTGAAGCCCATTTCTGGTGTCCTCTGTGATATTGCTGGCATATTGCTAAAAGCGGCGTCAAATGTTACTCAGTCACTCTGATAAATTAAAATCATATATACATTATTGTATCTATCATACAGACAAATATGTTTTATATTTTTTATGCATTGGTGATGTGCTTCATTCTTTGCTTTGTAGACAGGGTATATAAATTAGCATTACACATGGGGTCACATGTGTACTGTAACTTTACTGCAGTGTTTTAACTGTACACAAATGCATCATCATATTTAATCCTTATTTTTCTATTTGCAACCTAAATTCAGTTTTGTTTGATATTAATTTGTTTGATTTAATATTAAACATGAATGTGCTTAAGATAAAATATAATGGATGTCAACTTCTTTATTGTATGAGACCGCCTTCGTGGTGTAGTGGTTAGAGCGTCCGCCCGGAGAGCGGAAGGTCGTGGGTTCGATTCCCGACCGCGTCATACCAAAAGACGTTAAAATATGGTACTTGTTGGTTCCTGCCTGGCACTCGGCATTAATGGGTACAACAAGGACTGGTCGGTTCAGAGTCAGTATAATGTGTCTGAGTGGGGTATTCATGCTTCATTGCGGCATGGTATCTCAGTGGGCTAGCACTATAAAACCAGCTTCAGTCTGGGCTAGTACAAGCAGCCGCACATACATACACACGCATGCACGTCGTCATATCAGCGAAATATTCTCAAGTACGACGTAAAAACCCAATGTCACCTCACCTCACCTCTTTATTGTATATACAATGTTTCTGGGCTATTCCTTGCCCCTTCATTCACCTGACAAAGGGACAAGGAAAAGCCCAGAAACGTTGTGTATACAATAAAGAAGAAGTTGACATCCATAATATTTTGTCTTATGTCTGAATACCAAGTCCTATATGCCTCTCAAGAACCTCATGAATGTGCTTGCTCCTTCAAAAGGGAATAATTAATGATACAATATTTAAATCTTATGCTGTTACACAAGTTGTTTTTACAGTGACCGCTGTTTTTATTTCAGGGCTATGTGGAACTAGAGACAAAATCGAATGAGTGTTTACTGGAAGAGTTAGAAGAGGATGAATTCAATAAGATTGTTCCTCATGAAGCGTGCTGGGATTTGAATAAACGAGGTGGTGTTGGTGAAACGCCATTACACATAGCTCACCTCATGGACAGCCCTGTGCACAATGAAGTCACTAAGATTCTATTACGGATGTACCCTAAGATGACACTGGATGTTTACGAAGGGGAGGAGTATTTCGGGTAAGTATGCAGAATACTCGTTTATTTATAACAAAAGTGTTTTATTGATAAATATTTTGTTTATTATATCCAGGGACTGCAGAAATCTTGTGTATTTGACTCAATCTGTGGTGGAAATATTCAGGTTAATTTTGCTGTTGGGTCAATTTGACCCAGTGGTAAGTCAACCAATTCTCAGGATGTTATTAGTATCATTATTGTAATGTTTGAACAGCGCTTATAGCCAGCTCAGCTGCTCAAAGGCGCTTTCTTGTTCCCTTGATCATTGGATGTCAATGTCAAACAGCACATCGTATTATCAATCTCAACTCCCTGGGGCGCATACAACTCTCTAAGTTACATTACAGAACATACTGACACATGGATACTGATACAAAAGGTTTGAAATATAATTTTGTGTCAATGCATTCTCTATTATTTACATTCAGCCATCCCGTCTTGTCAAGCCATCACTTTTTTTACTGTAACACTTGAATTTATTAATGCAGCTAGATTGGCATGTTATAATCTTCTGTTTGAAGATCATTATGGAATATCACATATTGACAATGGTATGATTGATTATTTATTGCTTCTGAATTAGTTAATTAATTTTGTTACATGATCCTTTGTTTGAAAAGAGATCACTTATTTTATGCATATGACTCCCTTGAAGTCAAGATGACTCTGATACTTAGGAGCCCAGGGCAATCTGTCCACCATGAAGAATGAATGAGGTGAAGAATTTTCACCTCTTTGTCAATGCTGATATGCCACTGAGTTGGGGAAATGGTGATTGACTGCTGACTGTTTGTTTGTTTGTTTGTTGGTTGTATAATGCTGCACTCAGATGTTTTCAAGCAAGCATACACATCTTATAATCAGTGTTTAAAACTCCCAAAATTCCAAGCCAGACAGACGGACTGGTAACTTAAAAAAATTACCAGTCCGGATACAAACTTGCCTGTCCGGTTTTCAACAATAAAAAATTGCGACTGCCATTTCCAACTCGTGCAAGCTCAATTCACTGTTTGTAGGCACCGTAATGAACTGCATAGCACTAACAGGCAATGCACCGAGTTTAGGTAAACTAAAAGTACATGTGTTATGATTGGTTAACATAATTTTAATAATATCTCAAACACCTCAAACTGACGACACGAGAACCTGTCTGATATTATGAAATATTTGCTCTTAGGGGTAAAAAATATCTACCAGACCACTGGACAGGCTACTTTTGAAATTTGACTGTCCGAGATGAAAATAGACCGTTCCGGACGATCGGGCAGGCGGGAATTTTAAACGCTGTTATAATCATGACAAGGAACCTGTATATAGTATGTCATATATTTAGAAAGGTTAGTCCAAGTGAAGATGACACTGAGTTACCTTCCTTGGCCAGATCAGGATCTAAAGAACATGATTCCCTGATCTTGCTTGTCCATGGATGGACTCATACTTATATCTTGATGACCTAACCTTCACTTCAGTACTTTCTTTCTTCTTTCTTGGTCGTGAAGCCCTTTTCTGCTGTTCCCTGTCATGAAATGCTGGAATATTGGTAAAAGTGTTGTAAGCCTGCACTCACTCAGTCCATCCTTGATAATAATAATATTTCTGGGCAATGCAGAATGCTGCACTATCCGGGAGTATTCTTGGTGGGTTCTACCCGTGAAGATCCAGGTTAGAATTGGTCTTCAGCAACAACTAGGCTTGTCGTAAGAGGCGACTAACGGGATTGGGTGGTCAGGACATGTTTGATTTAAGACATGAATTGCGTAGATTGATTCTCTTGATGACTTCGAATGACCTCTTGTCATTTGTTTGAAGAAGTATTTGTCAACTTTTCAAAACAGCGTACACATGTACAATTTTATTAACATTCACAGTACAATGTTTTGATTGATTGTAAAGCAAGCATTTTCACAATTTGTATATTATTTCGTTGGCTTTAAAGAATACTAAATCCCAACACTTTTCTAATATTGTACAAACTGCAGTGTTTATTTACCTAAGTGTATAAGTATATACATCGGATGTGCTAGTTGTTCTACAATATCTAAACATTGAGACAATTCTGCAAGACTGATATTAAATAGAGACACACATATTGTGCATTTTTCATCATGATTTTGATTCCAATGAGACTTGTTTGGATAAGGATCCTGGGGCAAATTTGTGGAGATTTAGTGTTTTTCAGACTTTACTATCCATTCATGGCCAACAAAACCTTGCATCGTGGTCTAGAAGTTCAGATGAACCAAAAATAGGCATGATGTTTTTTTAGAAAGAGGTATCCCAGTTTTGGACAGACCTGTTGGCTTAGTCCTCTCACCTCCCATAGACGTTTAGGAGTACGATGTGATGCCCGTTTCCTTTCCTTCTTTCTTTTTATATGTTTCGATTTATATTTTATTTCCTCTTATATTTGCTATAAGAGGAAGTGTCATGATCAAAGAATGTGTACAGACAAAGCTGTCACGATCAGCATTGTGTGAAATTTATATGGAAAAAACATTGCTCCATAATAGCTGCTTGTTTGGTCGTACCTGATAAAGCTCTACTTAGAATGTTTCATTTATAAGAAATTCTAGATGCTGACAGTTCCATTTACTTAAAGTGAAAAACAACAACATTATTCATGATGTCCCATTACCAGAGAGCTACGTCAACTTGACTTGATTCAGATATCTGAAGTTCAGGTTGAGATATGCAAGGTTTGATTGTACGTTTTACCGCTCTGGGCCATGTCCAAGAGATTGGCTCCAAACCAAGATTACCAGTAAACAATAAATAACCCTGACTTAACTTCAGTGTTAATTTTCACAAGGATATTGCACACATAATGAATGTACTTTACTATTTCTATCTTTCTTGATGTGATTTTACACTTCTTTGATAACAAAAGAGGGTAAAATATGCAAAAGTGATCCGTTATATTTTTATAAAAAAAGTATGGTCAGTTGAAAAGCCACATAAATAAGAGTTCACCCTAATTGTTACAATACATACACAGGCTGTGAATGTCAACATAATTATACAATCTGTCAATTTTGGTGAATTGTGATCGACTGCACAGTGATAGAGGAAATTTTTTATCAGTTGGTTTTGTCATGAACAAGACTAAGATGCATTGAATGAGTGAGTGAGATGCCGCTTGTAGCATTATTCCAGCAACATCACAGCCGGGGATACCAGTGATATATATAAATCTTAGATAAGTCTAAATGTAAATTACGTAAGTAACCTATTTTAGATATTTAGATGTTCTGTCTAACTTAGAACCGTGGTTAGTTGTGTGATCTATTGTTTTTCTGACAAGGCACGCATTCATTCTGACTTTTCTAGCTTTCAAGTTCAGTCAGATAAAGGGCATGCATTGTTTTCTCTCCTCCTGCTTTCAGTTATTTTGGGGATTAAAAAACAAAGTCATTGATTAAATGTAATCTGGAATGCCTTGCCCTTACCCCTTTGAGAGACCTTGCCCTTACCCCTTGAGTGACCTTTCCCTTACCCCTGTGAGAGACCTTGCCCTTACCCCTTGAGAGACCTTGCCATTACCCCTGAGAAACCTTGACCTCACCTGTGGGAGATGGCTTGATACTTGACCACCTGTTTGCGGGGACTGAAAGTAGAATGCCTGCATCCGATAGCAGGATTGATAAAAGTTATTTACAGTGGTTTGTGGTCCTCATTTCATCTTTGATAATTGACGTTAGTTTGTGGGTCAGGTCACTGAGCCTCATGGCGTTTGATAGCAGGGAAAGATTAAGGTTGTGATTATGGCGCTCGTGTTTAACTCACTTTGAGAATGATTGTTTTGATTCAAATCGTATCACATCTATATGATCGGGAAACATATTGTATCATGGCCTCACTGTATCGTTACCCCGCTAGATGACACCAAGTCACCCAGAGTGTCCAACTGATCCATTAACTCACCTGTTAGAATCAGCATTGGTAACGTATGGGCAGTTCTGTCCCAGAATCCCTACTAAGTATTCCGATCCTCATGCCGACATTTATGATGTTCTTTTCAGGCCATTCACTCTATTTGTCAAGCTTCTAGACAAATTATATTATGGTGGTTTTTTATATATTCTGATTCTTTTCCAGGATTTTTGTAAATATTATGACTTCTTTGTGAAACTCTGCATTGAGATTTATGTCAATCTGTTTTGCATTTTTACAGTTGGTATACAGCAGTTGAATCTATTAAAAAGCATAGTGTTCAAAGAGTTTGATCATCTGGCCCTAAAACTGAATACCTTTCCTCACATGGGTACAATGTGTAAGGCATAGTTCTGGTGTTGCCCATTGTGGAAATCTTGATAAAAGCAGCATAAAACCTTACCCACTCACTCACTCTCACATCAGTTCACATTATGACATGAATCGCGATTGACAGTTGTTATAGCATTGACTCACCTACATAGTAGCTGGTACATCAACCTAAGGTAACTGCAGCGTTTATCTTGTTTATAATATGGTGATGACTATGATATGAAACAGTGTACTTAGATTGCATTTTATTTAGTTATTATTATTTTTTAGATCCGGGTTAGAATTGTGTTCAGTAACCCATGCTTGTCGTAAGAGGCGACTAATGGGATCGGGTAGTCAGACTCGCTGACTTGGTTGACACATGTCATCATATCCCAATTGCGTAGATCGATGCTCATGCTGCTGATCACTGGATTGTCTGGACCCGACTCGATTATTTACAGAACACCGCCATATAGCTGAAGTATTGATGAGTTCTGTGTTAAATAACAAACAGTATTAAAGTATTATACATAAAGTGCCGAGTTGGCACATCAGCTGTCTTGTCAGTGCCTGGTGAGTGCTGTATGTAAATACAACAGAAGGCTATGAATACAAGAGACAAAACCCTTTCCACAACGATAAGAAATCTCTGCTAAAAGCAGAGTTGATTGTAACATTCTGACTAACTCAAGGGCATGTGTTTATGAATCACTATCAGATAGCCATGATAACCAGGTGATCGCGAAAAGGTCAGT